ATATTAAGAGTGGGTCGGCTGATGTTATGACCAACCCTCTCTCTTTTCAAAAATCTCTTCGTGTGCTTCTTCTCTTCTCTCCTTCTCTTCTTCTTTTCTTTTGAAATTTCTTCATTTTTTTTTCTTTTGAATTCAAGACTAATTGTAGTCTTGATCGACTACTGTGAATATTTGTCACTAATGTTTCAAACAATCCCAAGATAAACAGAAATTTGATAGTACTCACTGCAATTGGTCCTTCAACCCTCAATAAGGGTATCTTTGGAAAAACAACTGACCCCTCAGAAATAGCATAAACTTCAACACCAAAGCAGTCAATTCCTCTAAGATAATCAAAAAAGCCATCCTACAATGGAGAAAGAAATGTGATTAATCAATGACATATAAAACAGCTAAAGAAGAACATATTGAATTAAATATACCATATCGCGTAATGTGTTTTTCTAACAAAGAGAAAATCATTTAGGGTATCCACATCTAGTAGGCACACATGTTAAGACATGCATCCCCATATTCTTAAATACATAAGTAGATGAAGATATCCTAAGAATGTATATAAATAGGTACATACATAAAAAATACATATACATATACTTCCATACAAACAAGAGAATGCAGGTTCAAGTCCGAGAGCAACCACTTTGTGCAAAAAAAAAAGCCAATGGTTAGGTCCATGTCCTGTCCAGTCCACCCCTCCCAAGACACCCAAGTAAATGTGACATTTATTATCCTTGTTAGCAATCTGATTTTCTTTAAAACTTGTCTATATTGCCAATGTTCATTCGCTTATTCTTTTTACCAGCCCACCACCACCTTTGAGTCACCTTCCACTTGTATGCTTCTGTGATTCAAGAATTGAGTTTTAATCCTTGCAAGGCGCCAAGGCCACAAGCAGGTCAGCCTTTATGGAGATACTGATTCTTATAGGACCAAAGTACATAGCTAGAATAGCCCTGTACTCGTCTTGAAAAACTCCTCCAACACCGGTAAGCGCCTGAGTTTCCGAATCTGCACCCATCAAAATTTAACTTATTGATAGTTGTAGGAATACCTAGCCTTTTCACTTATGTTAGTAGTGAGGGGCAGTTTTGTAATTTGCACTCATTTAAACACATAAATATAAATAAAGAGGGGAGAGTCAATCACTAGGTCATCTCACTTCCTCTCCTTCTCTTCTTCGTATCTCTCTTCTCTTTCACCTTACTGTTTTCTCTCTTATTTTCTCCATCAAATATCACATCTGCAATCCTAATATGGTATCAGAGCCATAGTAGGATCGAAGATTCTGGTGTTCCCTGAGTTCTCATCAGTTTCAAAGAAGAGAAGAAAGGACATGAAGTGAGCCATGAATAGGATGAGATGACCCAGTGAATAGCTCTCCCTCTTTATTTATACTTATGAGTTTAAATGAGTTCAAATTACAGAACTGCCTCTCAGCACTAATATGAGTAAAAAGGCTAAGTATTCCTACAATATAAAGAGAATTTTTCCATAAAATAAAAAGGGAATATAATTTGGTGTTAAGATGAAAGGAGACTACAGAAATACAAGGGCTGATCCCCTAGGCAAAAAGAAGAACCATATTTCAATAATGAGAGAACCCATGTCTGTTCTTCCCCAGCCTATAATCCCTTTAGTTCTCCAGTTTCTTTTTAAGCAATCCTGCCATACAGATTGGATCAAATCAAATGGCATGCAATTGCCTCAAACACTGCAATCCGGTACATGATGTGAGGCCCAATTCCATATCTTCCAGCATTGTACATAGGGGAATGACTCCAAAATGTCTTAATTTTAGTAGCACCAGAAAATATGACCATAACGAGAATCTCCTGAGGGTGCTAAAGATTGAAGACTCCCTCCCCCAAAACATTTTATTAGCAATTGCATGTTCCTTACTCCCCCATATCCTCAAAGAACAAAATGATATCATCAGAAAATTGCAGGTAAAACCACTGTTTCCCTGTTGTTAATCCTCCAACCTCTAATCAAACCCAGACTGTCTGCCTTGGATATTAGTCAACTAAGGACATCAACAATTAGGGTAAACAGGAAGAGAGTAAGGAGGTCACTTTGTCTTAATCCTCTCTTTGCTGGGAAAAAAATCCTTCACTTCCCCATTGACTAAAACAAAGTAATGAACAGTTTTCAGGCAACCCTTAATCCAAATTCTCCACTTATTACCAAATCCACATCTTTCAAGTACCTCATCTAAGGACCAAACCACATGATCATAGGCTTTCCCTATATCTAATTTGCAAACCCAGGCTCTTCTTCCATTATTTTTATCTCTTCCAAACACTCAATTTGCAATTAGATTTTGATGAGTGATCTGTCTATCCTGAACAAAAAGCTCCTAAAACTTTGAGATGAATGAGGGGAGTGCTTCTCTCAGTCTTAACGAAAGTACCTTTGCAATTATCTTGTAAAGGCTTCCAACTAAATTGATTGATCTCTTAAGTTACAGAAGTAGTAAACCCTATAACAGGTCTTTGTTGTTGATGCTTTCTTCTCTTAAATTACAGATTTCTGTAACGGGATTATGGGAGGGGTGAACTGATTGGTTAATCACATTTGGTCTTTTACAGGTCCCTTGCACAGTTCCTTGTTCTACAAAGGGTCATTTGTATCTGTTTTCTTAATCAATACAATACTTGTTCAGAAGAGAAAAAAAGATTCCACTATGTCTAGAGCCACATCTGTTAAATGAAAATATATGGACCTTAAGGAACTAAAACCTAGATACTTCTAGGTGTTTCTTGCTCCAACAGAAATATAGAATTTAAACAACTTCAAGTTATAAATTTGAACCAGAACATACTCAACTCAGCCTCAAGTAACCCCAACCATTTGAGGTGAGCATAAATTTGAAACAGAACATCACCAAGATAATTAATGAAATTACTTTACCTCACAATTAGGAGGCAAGGACGAACGGAGAAATGAAATCTCATCCTCTGTAAATTTAAAATTAGCAATGAAACGAATGCATTCTTCTAGACCAGCAAAGACAGTGTATTCACCACCAAATGGGTTCTTACGGAAAAATAAATCAAACCTGAAACATACCCAATATTAGGAAAAGAAAATCACTTCTCAAAGCAAGATACATAAATAGTTCATAGGGCATGTGAAAAAGTTGCTAGAATCACCTTTATTCATGATGCTAATTATTACCAAATAGGATGAGTAAGTACTGTTTTATACATATATAATCAATCCCCAACCAAACCTTGATATAAAATGGAAGGGGAAGAATCATTATCGGCTTATTGCACTGCAGAAAATATTGGGATTCTTCAAATAATACATGCAAGAAAAAATAGACGTGACTTAGCAATCCAAGCAACAATAAATGTACCCAAAACTACACATCCAAAATAAATAAATAAATGTACCCAAAATTTGTGAAAACTAACATTATAACCATTTAAATGCCCATCACTAAAACTCTAAATATTGACTGGATTATTTGTGTTATATGTTGACCATCATCAAATTCCTTGTCAAGCTTATAAGGACTGAGAAAAAACAAGTAACGTATGCATGCAGATCTAATCCAAGCCTACTGTTTAAGCACAAACACCAACCCCGTGGGGACGAAATATGTCACCTTTAAAGCCAAAAGGACATCCAGCTCTGTATAAGGACAACCAATAAAAAGTTTTTCATAACCTAAATATAGGGCATCATTGCTCATTCACAACCACGAGGATGTAATGAAGAGCATTACGCTCTCAGTGTGAAGTTTAGCTCTCATTACATCAAAAAAATATATATGTTGCAATGGTGGTGATTGTATGGCCAATTTGGGATGAATAAGTTGTCCGCCCTCAGACAACAAGTACACACTCTTGTTTGGCAAAGGGAGTTCTCAGCCAGCCAACCTCCAAAAAGAACAAAATATTCGTTAGTCATTCCTGACTTGTCTTACAAGAATTCTACAATACAAAACAACTGAAACCATCTCATTCTGCCCTAACCAATTAATAAAAGCATCTATATCAGTCTTATTTTATTAACAAGTTTAACCCAAATTCAATCCAAACAATAAATTCAAGAATACTTGTTCCATTAGAATTGAACAAGAAACGGAAAGAAGTAAATAAATGAAAAGAATCAGGCAAAAAAAAAGAGATAAAAGGAAGGAGGAAAAGGCGGAACAGAGAAAGATAATGAAAGCCCACATACACAGCACGTTCGAGATGCTTGCCGGCCTTCCAATAAGCATAAGCCATGGTGAATTGATAGAGATCTGTAAGGAGAGGCGTAACCATGGAATTCGTTGGTCCATCGATTTTGGGACTCGACGACCGTTCTTGCTTGGACCCGTTTGTAGTCGCGTCCATTGTTAGCGCAGAAAATCTAGGGTTATTTCTCACTCTTGTTCGCTTTCAGGTTACCCCTGGATTGGATTTTAAATTAGCCGCAGAAGGTCGTTATATCATCATACACATGCATATATTAATTAATTTTATAAAATCTATATATTCGACAGATACAGACATGCATATAGGTAGATAAGAGTACGAAAGAAACCCGACTGATGGAAGGGAAAACCGGAAGAGGAGAGGAGGCTTTTATCTTAGGTGTTTATAGTTAGAGAAGAAACAAGAGGCCGCCTTGGCGTCACTCGTCTGTGGAGTCTTCATAAAAAGAAAGAGATGTCGAGGCCGTTAACCACGAAGATCCCTCTGGCCACACTTGCCACTCGGCGGTTAATTGGTCCGGGGTCGTTCAGGCTTCAATTAGCATCCCCGAACGTGCCCGTGGTAGGAATCTATCACGATTCACGGGCAGATAGAATCGTCTAGCAAACGTTTTCTTTACTCTCTCTCTCCCTCTCTTTCTCTTCCAATGAAAAGGTTGATCGAAAGGGAAAAGACAAAAGTTGAGTGGTTGCCATTTGCGTTGCCAATATCTATGTCTGATACCGAAAAGGTACGATACTGAAAAGCTTTTACTTGACTAATCAAAAACCCAAACCGACCAGTTGATTGATTGGTTACCGGTTGACGCCCCGGCCCCCCGGTTCATTTCTCATAAGCTTTTTTTTTAGGGGTTATAACAGATAAAGGAAATTGTAGGGCCTTAATATTAATAAAAGTAATACTTTAAAAAAAAATCAAAAATAAATTAATTTTTTTTAAATAATATTAATTAAGGACAAAAATACTGTTCATTTTCTTCTTCTTGCAATCCATTCACCATCCGCTGCCGCTTGTTGCCTATCCTTAATTTTTTAAAAATAATATCAATTAAGGGCAAAAATAATATCAATTAAAACATTTGTGAGGTGCAGATCTCAATTCAATAGCCTTACCTGTACTTGGCAGATATATAAAAAGCGAATTGGGATATGCTTCTCACACCAACTTTACAAGCACATCCCATTATGCATTGAAAATATCTCCCATAAATAATAACACATAAATACATAAAATGTTCCCAATACACAATGGAATGGTATGAGACGCCATGTGTGAGATATAGATCCGGTCTCATAAAAAGCACACTAACACAGCTGTAGTTCCATTTAATTGACTATATTATAATATGAAATATGGAGGCTTTCATCCCGTCCACTACGTTAGGTAGAGAAGCATCATAGGAAACTACATATATAGACCATCAGAGAATTCAACCGATGGTCATGACATGAGAAATTTCTTTTCCTAATGTTGAACTGCAGTAGAGATCATAGGATCATAAATCATAAATTAATTAAAAGAGAGATTTTAGCTTGTCTAAATATGCATTATTAAATTGGTCATCCATTAATTCATTCGTTGGTTTGATCGGACATGTCACCTTCTTGTGGGATAAGTTTCGCTATTGAAAATAGCAGCCCCAGCTGTTTTGAAACTTCCATGTGTTAGTAAGGGTGTGGGGTAAAAGGGTAGTTGATGTAATTAATATAATTTTTAATGGAGTGGCCTATGATTCCTGGCTGTTTTTTTATTGTTATTATTTTTTTTCCAAACAGCCAAAAAGCCAAAAGCCAATGCGGAGCCAACTCCCAACTATCTAACGTCTTGTTGGATGGGTGCTGAATTTGGAACAAGTGCTCTAGTGGAATTCTGACATCAACCATAGAAGGTGGCATGACACCATTTTATGACGATTTTTATTTGATGAATATATAATTCATGTCTCATAGTTGATATATACTTAATATATATGAAGTAAAAGCTAATCAATAGAAACACATAATGATAGATAATTGTTTATATTTTATTTTTTTAATAATTAATAATTATTTATACTTGATATCTTACTTTTAATATTTTTTTCGTAACATACAAATAATAATAATTAATTTTAACTAGGTTGTTCATCAAACAATGAAACCAAATAACTCGACTTGAATTAGTCGGTTTTTTAGTATTTCTGGTTGGCTTTAGTTCCGCAACTTTCTAACCTAACTAGTTTGGGTCAGTTTCGGTATATATACATATATATAAAATACGAGAAAGTGAGAAAATTCCAATATCTAAAATTTTTTAAATTATAAATTTAATATTTTTAATTTATTTTTTAATAATATCATTGTATTTTTTTTAATTTAAACTTACTTTTTTTTAAGTTTAAATATTTTGAACCAACCAACCAAATTGAAAATTGACCTAAACTGATACAACCGAGTTGGTCGGTTTTCACTAATGGTTGGTTGGTTTCAGGTGATCAATTCCCCAACCCGACCAATTTGGTTTGGTTGGTAAAACAATCTACAATCCAACCAAACTGACCCGTGAATACTCTTAATTTCGAATAAGTTAAAAGTTAAATCTCCAATAAATAACAATAGTTTAATCTCCAATAATTATTGATAATTTATAGCAAAAATACATAATTATTGAAAACAAATTTATAATGAAAATACAATAAATAATTAATAAAAATACAATAATTATGAAATGAATACAATAAAATATTTAAAATTTTTCATTATTTAAATTTTATTTATTTGAAAGTTATTACATAATATTAATAGTTTCTTATATAATTACTTAGCTATTTTTAATAGTTTTTATGTAAAATATTTAGCCATTGAAATATCTAAAAATATTTTAAAGTTTAATTATTTAGACAAAATGTAAATAATCTTGTTATTGAAATTTTTAAAATAATATTTAGTAATTATATAATATCAAATATTTTGTTATATAATTATTTATATATTTTTAATATTTAAATTATTTATTTATTGAAATATTTAAATAATATTATAAAATTTTAAGTTCTTTTATTTAAATAACTTTGTTATTGAAATTTTTAATCCATAAAATTATAATTTATATTGTTATTACATAGTTTTGTTAGGACTTTCATATAAAATTATTAATAATCTAAACATTATTAATTCTGTTATAATTATTTTTTGTGTTTTTAATAAATATTTAAAAGTTATTGCATATTTTTTTATAATAATTAAATAATTATTAAATTTTCCTTAGATTGATATAGATGAAAAGTGAGAGAGAGAGAGAGAGAGAGAAGAAGAAGCTAGGATTGGGGTAATCGAGAAAGGAGAAGGCTATTGACATGGCCTGTGAAGGTCGATTTTGGCCTTGATGGTTCTAGAGTCTACCCATGGAACCTGTACTTTCTTTACTCTCCCTCTTCACAAAAAAAAAAAAAAAAACATGTTATTTAAAAACTTGATTTTTAATAAATATAATATATAGTTTAAAACTTATATTATCTTTATTGATTAAATTGGATAACTTAATATGTAGATTATAATTATATGGTTAAAAACTTATAAATTAAATTTAAATTTTGTAAATATTACCTTTTACACTACTTATTGTACACATTCAAATATTAAAATGAATACAAATGATCAAATCACTTAAGTAATTTAATGGTCAAGTGAGACCATGGCCTTTGTAACCACGAATGCTTGGGTTCAAATCTTCACATACATCCCCAAAAGTATCTAGGGGTTTATTTCAAGGCAAGTTCCAACAAGGTCGGTTCCACGAAGGCCAACCAAGGTCGGTTCATGTAGCGTAAACCCAAGGTTTTAAAAGGCTGAAGGCATAGTTGAGGGCCTTGAGGCGTAACAACCCAGAACGGTGAGGAGTAAGCCTCAAGGTTTAAGGAAAAAATAATTGAAGTTTGTAAATTGATGAAAATAGCATATAATATGCCAAATTAAAATGATAGAAAGTACACAAATCCATAAGCTATAAGTTTATAAGCAATAAGTTTTAACATTTAAGCATTAAATAAAATAATAACTAATCAACTAACAATTCTAAACATTTTACGTTTCATGTAAAAAACCAATTTAGAAAAAAGGGAACAACTTAGTTGATTTGATTTATAATTATTATCATTATCATCATCATCATTATTAATATTATTATTATTAAAAAGAAAAAAGATTCATTAATATAAGAAATGTGAAAAATAACAAACTTGAGGCATTATAGTTAGAATAATAAGAAAAACCTCACTTGATTTATCCAAAAGAAACTAAGAATAATTTGTCCTTTTTGCATTGAACTCTCTTAAAACGCTAAGAAAAACTAATAGAATTTGATTTTCCTTATTTGTTTTTCTTTTTTTACTTTTTTATTTGGCTTATAATTATTGAAGCATTTTTCTTTATGTTTTAAATTATAAAAATTTATATTTTTTGCATTAAATAATTATGTAATCATTGATATTTGAGGCTTACGCCTTTTTATGCCTCAAGCTACGCCTCATGCCTTGAGGCATGAGGCTTACACCTTATTCTAACAAAGGCTTAAGCCTCATATCAAAGTTGTGGGGCTTAAGCCTTGAGGCAAAATTTGTGTGCCTCGCCTCATGGTGTACGCCTCACACCTCAAGGCTTAAGCCTTTTAAAACAATAAGCAAACCCCTAGACCCTAAAATCGCCTGGGTGGGGGACAGTTCCAAGAATTTGAAACCAGACTCTACCTTGTAACAAATTGGGTAGAGTCGGTTCAAGGCTGGTTTGAGGTCAGTTCCATTTGGTTCCAAGTAGAATCTACCCATTTGCTCACCCCTATCAGGTACATTGTCATGCGGACCCTATGTGCATAAAACATGGTGTGTTTGTTCATTAATAATTATGTAGCAAGTGATGCATATAAATTGCAAAAGCAGCAAATCCCAATGTGGTCTCCTTTAACGTATTGTAAATCTATTGCAAACAACATATGTGTACAATTAGCTATATAATCCAATCATGAACAATATTCTCAAATACTAGTATATACTTTTTTACACTATTTTACCATCCTTCCATCTAATACCACATATGTTCCATCACAGCTATATTCTAACATGAATGAGTATTTACTAAGGTTAAAGTGAATATTTAATTCATAAATTGAATGAGAGTGAGGGAAATCGAGACCTAAATTGCATAGCAAGCTGGCCAAAAAAATTGCACAATCAACTTTTTGGGGGGTGTTTTGTTTCGTGGACGAGAAATTGGTAAGTGTGGACTCGGCCACACCACACCACTATAGCAAGGACCAATCCATATTCCACATCACACCACAATCTATAGTTATTATGAATTGTAGATAGATTGTGTAGACCGAATCAGCCCACACCTACAATTGTGGTTATGTAGGTGTGGTTTGCATTAATCCACAATTGTGGTTACTTATTGATTATAAATAACTATCCCCAAATTAATTTGCAAATATCATCGATAAAGTCATATTAATTAATAAAAAATTATTTTAACAAAAAAAACAAGTAGAAAAATAATTAAAAATAACAAAAAAAATTATTAACAATTTTTTAAAATAATTCAATAAAAATATTGAATTATTTATTAAAAAATAATTATTTTTTAAATAATAGTAAAAAACAACAAATAC